AATAACATTACATGTCTGCATCCATTATCATGTTAGCAGGTGTTTACCTCGTGAAAATTCTTGTCAACATCCCTGCATATCTCACATTTCGTTTTAGCAGCAAGGGTTCCTGAGATTAACAATAGACAATAGAAAAGTATATAATTTACACTTGTAAGGGAGTACACGTCCATGATGTCTATGATACACAGAACCGATCAGCGCCAGCTGATCAGCCTAATTTTCAAAGGCCTGTCACCACAATAAACGTTCGCAACAACTTTCTATCCCTCCTAATCTCTTCTTTCGTCATGAGAGTAGTTTCATGTCACTTTTTAAATTGTCTCTTTTACAAGAACACTCTAATTTTCGATTGATCCTATCTTGAACCCATGTGCATTTGGTGTTTACTTGCCAAATCATCTATTTCATCCAATGAAATTACGACACGATATTTTCCTCTTTCAGGGTGACTAAAACTGAAATGATTTACGGATTTGTGTTTCCGGATTGTCGAATGGGAATAACCTAAGGGCGGATCTAGGAAGATCTAGGGCGCTATACCTCCTACGGTTTTCAAAGGGTCCTTGGAGGGATTTTGAACTTGAGTGATTTTATGAAAGTAAAATTTAACGTTAGCGTTTTAGAATTATCTTATAGAAATAGAATAGAATATATTTATTATTCCAGATCAGGGCCTTTTGGGTAGGGCTGGGCAAAAATATCTGACTGCCGTCACGAGAAAAGGGCCCTTAAGGTCAAATTTTCACAAATTGACTTTTTGGTAAAGTTTGATAGCCGGACTCTTTCTGAATGCAAATATACATAAATTTTGAAAATATCTCACTTTTTCGATATTTTATGAGCATTTTAGTGAGGCGCTTCAAAAATAACTTTGACGTTACTCACTGAAAACGTAATGACGTCGCCTGCGTTTTATTCAATTTTCAAAAAATCTTAAAATCACGTGTTATTTAAATAACCTCAATCGTTTTGAGCATTTAAAATATGAGAAAGTATTTTTTTTCCTCCAAGCGACTAGTATTTAACTATTCCTGAGGGATTTCGTGTGTTATTACTATTTCCATGCTAATTTTAGAGCAGATCTAGTAATTCGTAAAAGGGAGGGGGAGGGGGGTCTAGACAGAATGTAGGAACGGTTTATAACATAATCAGTAGGGAAATAATATTTGTTTAAATCCATAAAAATCATTCTTTTTATATCAAATAATCTAATTCAATTAATAAAATATATAAAGAATTTGTAACACTTAGAGATTAAAAGAAATATATACATAGATAGAGAATCCCATGCAGAAGGACACCACGAGCAAATAGGGGCACCCCTCGCAAAAAGAACATCGATCCCGATAATAAAAAAAAACTTGTGAGACAGCATTCACTCACAATCACACACGCAAGTAACTTTCTTCTGTTACCATAATAAAAAAAAAAAAAAAACACCATGAATATTCTGTATCACCAAAAATTCAATTGAGAAATAAATTCAGATACGCTAGGATATGTAAACTTGTTTTTAAAAACATTCATGAAAAAATATAAGTTCCCTTCTTCCATGCAAGCGGATTTTAAATTTTTTTTACGTTTTTGAACATTTTATTTAAAAATTAAAATGTTTAAAGCTCTAGGTTTCCACTGTGTATACAATTCATTTCCGTCGCCTGTCTTAGTTATGGAGTAGAAACGTGGTAGTAAATTGGCAAATAAAGGACAAATGAATTATTTATATACCGTATACCTAAAACTGAAACTTTCTTGAATTTATGCCTCAACTTCTTATTTTTTTTTTTTGAATTAAACCACAATAAAAATCGGTTACAAATATTTCTGCTCATTTACCTTTTCTTAAAATATATTTTGTGGCACCTGTACCCTGTTTCACATGAACACAACATTTGTATATTTCTTACAAGGGCCGCTTCTATGATCTCAAAAAAATATCTATGTATGATATTGTATAATTTAATAAAAAAGATGGCAATTGTGCTGTTCTTGTCTCTTTTTATTATATTTACACTAAACGGTCTTGACTTTTCTGTGCGAAATTACATTTCCATATTAAAATTTTGACGAAATCTATTTGAAACTGAAACTGAATGTATACTTAGTGGAGCCTCATTTATCCGGATGCTTTGATTCCTGGTCAATTTGCCCGTATATGTGAAGCGTCCGGATACCGGAATTACCAGTTAATAAAACTTTCGTCCCGATGAAAAATCGTTCGGATACATCCGGATATCTGGCTTCCGGATATCTGAAGGTCCACTGTATTTTTACGCAAGAACGGCTGGCCCTTAGGAAGCCATTTCAGTTGGGGGAGCTATTTTTTTTTTCAGTTGTACATGTAGGCACTTTCAATCACCAAATTTTCCTTGACAAGTGAAACAATTTTTCACGGCCACGAACGGTCATCTACTTAGTATTCATTTTCCTCCATGAATGGCTAATTAACTTGATATAAGCTTTTCAAAATTTCGATGCGATTGTCTTATCCAATGATGAACTAAAATGTACAACATACCTTAATGCTTTTTGTCTGAGGCGATGCTGTTAATTAAGTAAATATTATACCGCTCTAATCTGACTCTCTTTCGCTGAAATATTTACTTAGGCAGACCATTTTTTCCTAGTTGTTACATTCAGAACATACCAAACATATCCCAAAATAAAAACATTTGACTCGTACCTTCGCCTGTCCCAACACTAACTCCTTTGAAAAATTTGGGGGATGGTTCAGCCAGAAAAAAATAAATAAATTTACCTTTAAAAAAGGGGGGTGTCGAAACTCGAATCCAATTTCGCCGTTGGGCAGAAAGGGGGGTGGGTAGGTTCAAACTTCTTTTAGTATCAAATTTTCTTAATCAAACATAAAACACTGCCTTATTCTTTAGCCCTATAGTGCACGAATTTGACTATACTACAACAAAGAGTGTGTATGTATGCATGGTGGTGTGGTGGGGGGGGGGAGGGACTTTCAATGTAAACCCCACCCCCTACCCCCGTTGCTACTTGCTGCGATTCTATATTTTGGGATCTTGTGATACAATGACTAACAATTTCGTATTGCAGTACGTTTTTGTACTATCAATATACCGGCAAAATGCTTAGACTAATGAAGTTTGTCATTAAATATAAAAATAAATTTAAGAAAGGTTTGTTGTGAAGCCAAACACTACAACAGAAGCTGTTTTATGGATGTATTGTAGAGCATAACTTTAAAAATAAGATTTTTTGTCTTTTGGTTACTTATTACATTTATTTACATTCTGCATGTAAATTAGAGTAAATATAATAAGAAAATGCTATTTTATTTTTGTTGAAAATATTGCAATACATAACTATGGCACGCCAAATTCACAAAAATAAGATAATCATAGTTTCACAATTGATAAACTAGGTTTATCGACTGTAAACTATAGTTTACAAACCGTAAACTATAGTTAACGATTCGTTAAGTATAGTTTTCATCTGTAAAACTATAATTAACGGTTGTTAACTATAGTTTACGAATGTTAATTTAAGTTTATCTGTCTGTAATAAAGCGTTAACAATAGATTTTGTTGATAAATATAGATTCACGTTTGTAAACTATAGTTTACAATCGTAAACTATAGTTAAGAGTTGTTAATCATAGTTTCACAAATCGTGAAACTATATTTATCAGATCGTTAACTATAATTAACGGTTTGTAAACTATAGTTTACAAATCGTGAAACTTTATTTATCAGATAATCTATGTTTTGCAATCGCAAATGATTGTTTTTCGGTGTTAAGTATAGTTTACGGTTGTGAAACATAGATTATCGCATTAACTATGGTTTACAGATGTGAAATATAGATTAACGTTGTTAACTATAGTTTACGGTTTGTAAACTATAGTTTACAACCGATAAACCTAGTTTATCGATTGTGAAACTATGATTATCTCATTTTTGTGAATTTGGCGTGCCATACATAACGCAATACAGTTATAAATATCGCAATTTATTATATATATGATTAAATATTTCCATTTCTAATTTTTTTTCTCTATAATAACCCTTTGAAAGTAAGCGGAGTTGATTTCCTGATAATTCTGCCGGAATGTAAATTAGGCAGGTCGATAGGTCAGCAGCTAAGGAAGCCTAATACGCATGCAAATCTCGTGCGCATCTGTCTCTGTGTCTGACGCTAAGGAGGCCAAATATGTATGTAAATCTTGTGCGGCTACCTTTGTGTTTGACGTCAGTGTGCGAGGACTATTGAAATTGGCATGGAAGTCCTCGTGTAATTTAAATGGATTAGTCTACATTCTTAATGTCTAAGTCTACAATTTTATTTCACAATGAAATGGAAATATAAGGAATCACTGTCTAGTTTTGAGAGTATGCCAGGGACATCAACAATAGTGGGAAACATCTGATAATTTTAGCATCACGGCTTCGCTTCGCCCGTTATGCAAATTATCCCATGTTTCCCACTATTGTTGATGCCCTGGCATACTCTCAAAACTAGACAGTGATTCCTTAAATAATTTCCATCTCTCTGATTGGCTGACATCCAACTATGTTAGAAAAATACTACGTTGTATTGACCTGCACGTGACGTTCCAGGTGAACAAGGATTTATTTCCTCTACCGTGACATTGATCTAGAAATAGATCGGGAATTTTTGAAATTACAAATTGATACAATTTTTTTTTTGGAAGGCTATTTAAACGACTATGACTTTTTTTAATGTTAACAAAACATAAGCGAATATATATTTTCGGGTGAGGGTGGTAATTAAGAGGGGATGCATGGACCCCCTCTAACACTTGTACTGAACAACATTTATACTTTTTGACATTCAGTTTTCCCTGATAATGCTCCTTCTTTTCAAAATCTATCCTATAAAACAACTCACATTATAAATTTTTTTATGGCAACTTCTTCTTCTTTTCGTTCGCCTAATCACACTTGAATCCCAGTCTCCTCTACTTATCTGGTGGTCTTCTGAAGGGATTCCACTGGTCCATAAAGCTACTCTTGTAGCGTTGTTGGTGTTGGCCAAGTGTTGTTTCTCAGTGCCTGGTGTATTCTGCAGTGTTGTAGGAGGTGTTCTGTATTCTGCTCAGCTTTTCCACATGGACACATCGGTGATGGTATGACTTTCATGACTCTATGCAGATGTTGGTTAAGTCTGTTGTGTCCTGTCCTAAGTCTGAAGATGGTCGTCTGCTCAGGTCTAGCCAGTTGGTGATAGCTGTCTTGTTGTTGAGGGGTTCTGTGTAGTGATGTGATGATGGTTTTCATCTCTGAGAAGCTTACTTGGTTTTCATATTGCTGTTGTTTGGCTCCCTCCTTTGCTAGCAGATCAGCATTTTTGTTTCCCTTGATTCCGCAGTGAGATGGTATGCATTGTAATGCTGTTTGAAGCCTTTCGATGTTGTGTAGATCTTGTTCAAGTTCGGGAAGTTTACCGTTGTTAATGGCTTGCAATACGGATAGGGCATCTGTCAGGAATACTACACTTGTTGTTTTGTTGGCCTTGTCTCTGATGGAGCGTTCTGCATGGGTGATGGC